AACCGTATCCAATGGAATATCGACGGTAGCATCAAAGTTATTCCCAAACCCAGCTGGCCTAGACGCCACAGGCCTCCCACCTCCTTTCTGCAAAGATTCGTTCAATACATATATTAAGAGCCCTGCGAGAAGCTTCAACAGAGGAATTTTGATACAAACTACAAAATTTCATTTCGAGATCTGAGATCCTATATAACACCCTCGCGATTGAACAGATTGAAAATCAAAGCATATGTCGATTGTGAATCTGCAAGTCAAAAGCTCATCCAGGAATAGAAAGTTAGTTACCGAGAAGGGATTGACGATTTCTTCGTCTTGTTCTTCTTCATCGAAGGGATTGGGATCGTGGTGGCGATTCATTTTCTTTTTCACTTCAGATCTCCGCAGCAGTTGAAAGAAAGTGTAAATGAAGCAAACAAACTTCAGCGACCGACGAAAGACTCTTTCTCCTTTACTCTCTCTCTCTCTTCTTCACAACGCCCCCCGCGGTTTCAAACCACCTTATTTACGATATTGCCACCCCACCAAGATGTGTTTGGTAGCCCAGCTACTAGCCCAAAAGAAAAAGGCCCAACTTTACTACTATATGTCAGATTGTGCAAAAATACATGAGAATAGTTTTCGATCAAAAAAAAAAAAAATACATGAGAATAGAAACCATCTCTTCTTCCACTGCCAATACTCTTTTTTCAGTGCAAATACATACATTACTTGGAGGAAGAAAGATATAACGTCCAACCTGTCCATGACTAATGTGCCATCCATGCCCACTCACTTGATCCATGGATTACATCTCTTTCGGTCTGTTAATTTTTCCAAAGGTTCGAAATCATTGTTTATTGATCCTACAATCACCGTTCGACATTTTTCCGTGTTTTGGGTTCATTCGCATCGTATCGTGAATTATTTTCTGATATATTATTCATCATTTTCACTATTCCAACTCAAACACGTTTAACTTTAAAGTTCTAAACGGATGTGTGATGGAAAAGATAAGTTAATTTTAATAATATTGTAACCAAATCAATCATTTTAAGTCTTTTCATATATCACAATGTTGGAATGTTACAAAAATATGGAAAGCGTATGATGCAAAAGCTTAAATTTACGAAATATACAACTTAATGGAATCAAATACTGAAAAATTTGATGGATCAAACACGATACAAGATTACAAGATGCATGTCACGGTTTTTAGTTTGTTATGAATTCTCTCTTTGGTACGAAAGGAACATGAGAAAACATGGTGAACAACCTCAGAACCAACTTGGCTAAAACATCCACAAGCAAGTGAGAAACAGGATCCTTTCAACTATATTAACAGGAGGAGAAAAATTATATCCAATTTTAATGCTTTGGTAATTCATAAGTTCGGTAGCAAACAAGAAATCATTGTCAAAAATGTCTTTTCAATTTTAATTTTAATTAACATTCTTTCAAAAAAACCTCAAAAATATAAAAAAAAAAGTCACAGGACTAAGTAATTTATTTCTTTTTATTTATTTACTAGGTGATTTTCCCGTGCTCATGCATGGGTATAAATATTTTTAAAGTAAATATATGATAATAATTAATTACTATTTAGTTTTAATTTTAAATTAATTTATAATTTGTATGCATCATTTATATTGATAATATTATTTTAATTTAATTATACTATAATTTTATATGTGTTATATCTAGTCGACTTTGTTGTTTTTACGGTTAATTTAGTTATCATTTGGATAAATTGAATTTCTTTGAATCCAACTGTAATATATAATTTTTAATTAATTACTTATTTGCATATAGTGGGTGTTGTTTTAGATATGTAAATATATTTTCGGAAAATTATGGACTGCACAAAATTGTGATTATATTTGAAAATAATATTATCTACGTAAAATAGAATTTATAGATAATTTTCTGTAATTGAAAGATATTTTAGTCAACTAAATAAATAAAAAATCAATAATACTAATTATAAACTATTTTTATTACTCTAAAAGTATATTTTATGTTATTAAAAAATATTTTAAATGTATTATTACTATTTTGTGAACTTTCCTTTTTTATGATATCATATTATATATACATATATTTTTCGTTTTCAATTTTTTTGTGACTTTATAAAAAAATTCCTTTTTATTATATATATTTTTGGAAATTTTTGAAAAAGAAACTAAATAAAAGAATGAATAATATTTTTGTTAACTGTTTTTAATTCATTAAGGGTATCAATGTAATTAACCATACTGAAACTGAATGTGAGAGCGCCACATAGGAAACTGACTTCTCAAATAATATTATAGAGATTTATTTATTTATTTGGACTAAGTAATTTAAAAGACCATTCCAAAGACAACATGCAAATCAAAATAATCCTTTGGACACAAATTAATGCATAGAAGGATCAGTAACTTGACCAAGGAACAGAACCAATCCGCTCATGTTTTCTCTGACAAGAAAGAGAAACGGGTGATCAGCCACGAAGTCATACTTCTCTTTCGGAGGCATATAACACCCCCCAAGACCGATCACAGCGGCAGCAGCAGCAGCTTTCGACCCCACTTCATCTACCTCAATGTAAGACTTGTGTATGATCGTATCATCCGGCAGCTCCAAACCCAAACCCTCGAGAGCTTCCGTGGCCATAAACCCAAATTCAAATTTAAACCTTGGAATCCTGAGCTCTCCAATACTTGCAGAATGACCAGGAATGTCTCCTTGGCCACTCAAGAACCCACGACAACAAGCTAATCTCTCAAGCAGTGCATGCAACCCATCTTTTTCACCAGGAAGATAGATTTGCATCGAGAAACAACGAGCGTAGTCACCACGTCCTCCCCTGTAAGGTAGGTCAAGGACTTTGAAACCTTCGTAAGCTACGAGGCTGTATTTGAAAGAGTGGCCGGACATGAAGGGAACACGTGCTGTGGTTCCATCGAGACGGTGAAAGTTGGAGTCTTTTGTAAGAGATGGGTCGAATTCGTGATCCCATCTTCCGTTGAAGAACAATGCATTAGCGAATATGAGATTGGAATCAGAAGAAACAGAGTTTTTGGGGATGAGATTAGTGATGAGCCCTCTTGTCTCATTCTCGACCCATGAGTTCACTTCTTCAACCACTTCATGAACCTATTAAAAACAAAACAGCTTGTTAATTCTATAAGATTATAAATTAATTAATTAACATAATTAATACACAAACATAATTTTTTTTGTAAAGTTAAAATTTGTGATTTGGTTTCAGACAAAAGCCTTTAGTTTTTAGGGAGAATTTGCTCAGTAGCCAAATTCTCAATGGAAATTAAGAAAATAACAATGATTTTGACATTATTAACTAAGTAGCTTTTGTCTCATATTTTATCCGGTTATATCCTTTGCATTAGCAAGTTCCCAGTAAAAAGAGTGTATGACATCATTACTTGGTTTATAGATAAAAGTGAAACACCATTGTTTTCACCTCACATAATGCATACACGTTACACTTTTATTTTCCACATACATATGTATTATATGCAGTAAAATGAATGATTAAATTTTTTTCGTGCAATCACAGATAAATATATGACATGAATTCAGTCCATCTGAGACCATATTATTCAAATGGAAGAGAAAACACAATTAAATGGAAACAGATCCAAGCGGAATAGACAAGCAATTAATACTATCTGAAGTGGAATAGTACAATTGAATAATTACCATTTTATGTCAAATCGAAAGGGGATTGGTAATATCATACTATGTCTACCTACAAAGCAATTGAAAGTAATGATATTCCACATAAAAGAGAACATTAATGGGGATGGGTAAGAGAGCACTTGACACCAAACACTAAACCCAAGTTAGGGAAATATAAACCCTAATCTATTGGCAATGTTATCTTACGCAAACTGTTCTATTCTATATAAATTATACTATTTAAACGATACGGTAGGCATAATACAACCATGATTGAGTTACATGAAATACAAAATTAATGAGGAAAGATAAGAGAACACTTGACACCAAACATTAAACCCAAGTTAGGGAAATATAAACCCTAATCCATTGGCAACCCAAAGCTTCGGGAAATTAAACCCACATGTCAGAATATGGGAGACATGTATTTACATTACTCATGAGAAGATGTATAAACATAGGTTAGGGAAATATAAACCCCATAAATTGTCATTTAAAATGTTATGGACGCTAATCACTAAACAAAAATTAAGAAAATATAAACCCCAATCCATTGCCGTTTAACCCCTTTCTTATGTTAATCTTTTCTTTTGTTTACCCCACTAAACAAAAGGTAGAGAAATGTAAACCACAATCAATAAACATAGTTAGAGAACTATAAACCTCATAAATTGACATTTAAAATGTTATGGACGCTAATCACTAAACAAAAATTAGGAAAATATAAACCCCAATCCATTGGCGATTAACACCTTTCTTTTGTTTACACAACTAAACAATGAACATAAGTTAGGGAAATATAAACCCCATAAATTGTCATTTAAAATGTTATGGATGCTAATCACTAAACAAAAATAAAGAAAATATTAACCCCAATCCATTAACAGTCAAATGGAATGGAACATAATTAAATAGTATAGTAACAAAATATATCGCATAACAAAATAGAAAAATGGCTTATTTGGGTACTAGTCATATTTAGAAAATAAATTAGGTAAATGGAAATGATTTTGAAATATAAACCCTAATCCCTAAACCCTACATGGAAATATAAACCCTAAACCAATATCAACCCCAATCTTTCATAAGTTAAACCAAAATTTGAAATTACAGTAAGATGTATTTACATTCTATATAAGTATACAGAACAGAAAATGTGACAAACGATACAACATATAATATATTTTTCAAATTTTATAGTGTCTACAATTGCAGGAAAAGAAGTAATGTTTACACAAAATTTAAACTGATTGTAGTGAAAGAAATGAAGATTGACATCATTAAAGAAAAGAGGTGGAAAAGACAACATCATATGAATATCATCCCCATTCAATATGACATTGTATCATGTTTTATTTGATGTCATAATAAATTCTATTTCATCTATTTTCAATATATTATTTCTCTTTACAAGATCTTATACACACTAATATAAAATACATATATAAACCGATACATAACTCATATCATGAGAATATGAAATAAAAATGAACAAGAATGAACCCTCTAATGTGTACTTGATCATCTCAATTCAGCGGAGGTTGGACTGTATGTTAACTCTTTTCTTTTCATTAGGTTCACACCCTGTCGCGAACAATCTATTTGGAAGGTCCAACTCATCCATGTCATACCTAACATAATAAAAAAAATAGGGGAAAATAGTTAGTAGAGATAAGCTATACAATGATGTCATGAAATTAATCATGATGGTAAACTGAAGCAAGATGAACATATATTATTCCAGTCCAATCCATGTCAAATAGAATAGACGTAAATGTCGATATAATATATAAGTTCCTTTCCATTCGGAATGGAATAGATTTAGATCATACTCAGCTATAGTGGGAATCTCATCAACAATGTAATGCACTAGGTATGAAATCGACCAAATATTATATAGGTAATAAACCAGGTTGTTTTATATCACATATATTAACCCAAATATCAAACGTATGGAAGAATAAGACCATGAACAAGAACGTATGCAAGTCTATGTAAACTGAGACACAAAGTTTCTATGTCTAATCCATTTCACCTAGTATGGAATGAATGCATATACTTCTATTCCATTCTAAATGGAAGGAACATATATTAAATCCAAATGTCAAACGTATCAGGAATAAGAACATGAACAAGAACGTATGAAAATATAAGTAAATTGAGTCATAAAGTTGCTATGTCCAATTTATTTCACATATGATGAAATAAATGCACTAAATTGTCATGTGAAACATTACCTATATGTATATATGTAGCTATATAGTAAGATGTAGAAATATTATTCCATTCCACGCCATCTCAAATGGAGATGTAAATGACAGTATACTATATACCTACAAAAATACAGATAGGAAGTTCATATACATTTGGGATGGAATAGATGTACATCAACATATCGTATAGAGAATTACTAATCAACAATGTATTGTACTAGGTATCCAATCGACCAATTAGTATTATTGAGAAAGGTATGCAAGAATAAGAACATGAACAAAACGTATGCAAGTCTATGTTAAGATGAGAAACATTGTTACTATTTCTATTCCATTCTACTTAGAATAGAAAAACTCAGACATTGTTTCTATTTCTATTCCATTCTATTTCATTCTACTTAAAATTTAGACGCTAATTTGATTAACAGATCTGCAAATTTAGTAGGATGACTTTGTAGATTTAACAACACCAGAACCCTAACTCCCACTACAGACTAGAAAAAGAATTGACAATAACAGGAGAGTAAGAGAATAAAGAGAGAACTTACATTCGGTGAAGAGATGGGAGAAAATAGGAGTTTCAGAAGTGTATTTCACCAAGGCGTCGAGGCTCCGGAGTACAGACCGAGGAATCTTTCTCAATTGAAATACCGGAGTAGATGAGGAAGGTGATTACAACGACGGAGAACATGAAATTCGCGGAGAAAAAGACGGTTTCGAGGGATTAAGTGGAGGTGTTGTCGGAGACCTTTCGGTTTCTCCAAACTGGGATATGTGAAAAAAAAATAGTGGAGATGAATAAGACACGATTTACAATGGGAGACGAAGAAAATAAATGGGGAATTTTTTTCTGTTCCGGTGAAACCGGTTGAGTATAGGGACAATACAGTATTAATATATAAAAGAAACGGCGTGAATGTGTTTGTCAGGGTTTTTGGCTACTAACCCAATTATGTTTTTTTCTCTTGCTATAGGGTCCAATTCCCCTAGTTTTTACCTTGTTGCGAAAGTCAACTAGGTTAAAAGCAGCTTTATACGAATTCTCTATGATACCCTTGAAAGAAGGCTCGACAGGGACAGTTTTTTCGAGCCAGGCGCCGTTAGCTGCGGCGATTGTTGGACCGCCGATTGATGTGCTGTCGGCGAGGACGGTGGTTACGATCTTGGAGGAGACAGTGTTAAGCTCGTCGGTCGAAGAAGCATGTAGTAAAGAGAGAATCTTTTCTTCGATGTCTCCGGGAGATTTTGCGGCGATGAAGCTGAGGATGACATTCAGTAACGCCGGAGAAAATAATAGGTTCGAGGTTTTTCCGGCGGTGGTGGTGGCGATCACGTGCTGAAACAAACTCAGAACGATCTCGTTTTGATTCGTTAGGGATTCTCGCAGGTCCATATTTTTACGGCGGGTGAAAAGGTTAATACTAAAGCCAAGATGTGAGATTATGATGTTAATGGTTTTGGCCAAAGATTAGGTTCCATATATATATCAAATTTTCCAAATCAAACTACATCTAACAATATTAAAAGTTCATAATAAAGCCTTCTGGAGGTGTCCACGTAGGCAAAAATAATCACCCAATAGAAATTCTGCATATGGACATGTCAGCATGGCTTTATCAATCGATTGGGTTTATAATTTTTTTTCACCGGCTTAGAACCCAGATTCCCTAAAAAGTTAGACGGTTCGTCGCCTCCTCTTCCTTTCTTGNACGTTTGACCTCCTCTCTCTCTCTCGCCCTGGATTCTCTCTCCTGTGCCTCTCTTTCTCTCGCCGAACCTCCCTCACCGTTACATCTCTCTCTCTATTCTCTGTTTCTGTGTGTGTGAGTTTTGATTCAGATTTGTTTTGTTCTTGGTGGAGGAGGATGGAGAAGAAGCTTGAAGGAGGAGGCTCCTCACCATGACTTCTCCGACGTCTTACACCGCTGAGAAACTTAGTACGAACCTGAACATGATTCAAAACATGGCAACCTTGAATTAGGATGGTCATAGGAAGGAAAAAGTTTGAGATTACCGTAGCAAGAAGTTTCAGATTTATTACAGATTTCAAAACCAATACCTTACAAAGCTGTATGAGATGCACTGTGCATCTTTCGATTTAGGATTATATTCACTATAATCATTGTTTTATTGAGGATGAGATTAACGTAAAATTTCAGGTTTATAATATGTTCAAGTGCCGTTCAAAAAAAAAAGATATATATGTCAAGCTCTGATTACAAGCAGGTCTTCTAATTCATTATTTATTCTGCTTGAATATACAACAACTGGAATCATGTGTATGTGCTATGTTTTTCAGGTATTGGCTTTCGAAAAAAAAATTGCAAGTAGAGATGTTCAAGCTTTTGCATCTGTTCATAAATTCATCGAAACCAGTGGTGGAGATTCTGCTGATAACATGTCATGATGCTTAAGAAATATTTGAACACCATTGGTTATTATTTAATTTCACCCTTTCTATTTATAAATCTAATATACAACTCAACTTTAATTTGTTTTTATTCTGTATATATTGGCTTCTATGTGTTTAGTCCTTCGCTTATTGGAAACCGTTTAGCTGGTAACATAACATATGAAAGCTTGGTGAAAATGTAAGTCACCAGAAGTTTTTTCAGCAGGAGTTTAGATCTTTTCTCTCAGGTGGTTCATGCCGGTAAACATCCTTCTCACATTCTTCTTTGGTTCCTTATTAAGCTGGGTTGTATTCTCATTACCAAGCTTCCTTCCCATCTCTGTGGTCACATTCTTCTTTGGTCAGCAATGAACCTGTTACCGAAATGTCTCTTTGTCGCAGGGTGGATTAGGTCCTGCCGGTTTATCAGCTGAAGACCTTCAGGTTCTTGATCTCGCTCAACAACAGCCACAATGGCACAGGTTCGGATATGAATATATATATGCTCCTTTTGGGCTATAGCTCGGTCATTATGCTAGCTTATCGCTTGATTTAGAATGTACTATTTATCCTATTTTGTTGTTCAGGGTTCTGGACCGGGACCATGTTATGGGAATAAATCTTTAGGTAAACTGACATTAGCTGATGAATGGGATTTGGAAGCTGCTGTCAAACCTTATGAACTGGAACCAGAAGGGCAAGGTCCACCTCCATGCATGTAATTTTTCTTCTTTGGATCATTTCTATCTTTGTGATTGTGTGGTTTGCTCTAAAAGTGATTTGGATCTCTTAGGTTTGTAAGATATAACTAGGTATGCAACTGTAAGTGCGCAGACTGATGGCCTTCTTCTATGTGGTTGAAAAGATATGAATAATGTGGTAAGCAAAATAGTTCCATGCTGCCATGTTAATTCAATGTTTGAAATCGACATGTGCTTTGCATTTGGGCTTTATATTTTTCAGTTGGAGGGGATCCATATACTGTATTCATCTTAGCTGCCATTATATTTACGCTAGAGTGAGGTGTTGAGGGGGATTAGTTTTGCATTGGCGATTACTTGAGTAAGAGTTCAAGTACAAAATTATCTATCAGTTTTTTTCATAATTTGAAAATTAGAGTTTAAAAATTGTCTTTATCCTCAGTGTTTAATTTCCAATGCTTAATATGTTTAGTTGGATACATGTTGCTATTACATATGAAGATGACCCACTGGAGGCTAAAGGTATTGGCAGGAGGATTCTTGACAAATTTCACGAGACCTCTAAAACTAACTTGGTAATTGGTATCCAACTACTTTGCTTACGATGTGGAGAAAATTCTATCCATTGTTTGTGTTCTTCTCAACAACAAACTTGATTATTCTGCCATTCTTCAAGACACAACTCTAGCAGGTGCGAAAAATCAGTTTTACTTTTATTTCTTTGAAAATATATTTATTGTCTCCTTCTGTTTAAACATTATAATAATTTGAATTTTTTTTTCTTGAACTACCAATTTGATATTCTCTTTATTTGCAGAATAACACTAAAAATGCTTGCTTGAANATTTGAATTTTTTTTTCTTGAACTACCAATTTGATATTCTCTTTATTTGCAGAATAACACTAAAAATGCTTGCTTGAATAGAATGAATGACACTACAGGAAAAGATCAAGGCTACCCAATGAATTGAAGAAGTTCATGGTTGAGTAAGCTATGTGGAAAAGATCCCCATGCATGCGATTGCAAGCGCTCTTTGATGAAAGGAAACGAAAAATATTCAAGAGGCTATAAGAGCATTGAATGTTATTTTGCGCCAGAGTGAAGCTTGGTAGCAAGTTGATTTCTTATATGTCTTTCGACTACATTTGTTCTCTGCTTGGTTTTTGTGCATGTTCTAATTTCTGCAGTGGTTGCCAGCCTTTTTTTTCTACAACAACGCTCAGAACGTTTTACATTTCCATTGGCTTGAGAGATTTCAGCTCAAGCTTCAGTTATCTGTAATTCATTTTTGAATATTATGTGTTACTCTCTATGACATTTTGGCTACTAACACTTTGTTTGTTTGTTTTTGCTTTTCTTTAGTCACTTCAGTTACGATTGGTTGATTTTCTTCTTGCAAAGCAAAAGTAGTTATCTGATTTTCTCTCATCAAGCTAGACATGCTCTCAAGAATCAGAGTGTTAAGGTTGCCCCCTCTAATCGAAAATGCAAGTGGAGGAGTGAAGTTTATAACAAGTGTAATCGCTTCGAGTTCTTTCTACACATCTATCTTTGATTGATGCAGGTTTTTGATGATGGTTTGAGTTGATTGTGTGTATCGTTAATGTTAATATATATCGTTTTATATATGCTTAGCAATAGAACAAAAAAATAAATAAAAAAATCAATCCTTGAAACAAACATGGATAAAAAATTCATTCATCTACATCCTAAACGTAGCAACGTAATGCAAGACACAAAAGTCAACACATCAACTAAAGTTAAAAAATAGTGGCCAAAATTACTTACCATCAAACTATGACAGAAATACAAAACATACAGATATAAATGCTACAGAAACTCTTTCGTTTTTGCAGTAAGGTGAAACAAATAACAAATGTTATAACTTTGAAGATTTTACAGTAGGTCAGTCAGTAACTACACCAATTGTCCGCATCTAAAAAATTATAAGAGCACACAAACAATAGAAAAAACGTCGGGGTGATCATGTCTTCATTAGACAATAAGTTAAATAAAAACCAAATATTGAACTGTAAATAGTTCTACACATCATTTGACCAGCAAGATATATATTTAATGACATAAGCAAAGCTATGTGGTAAAGAGAAACAAATATTGTCATGCTGCTAATTTTTGGTTTCATAAGTTGTAAAATCTATTTTATAATAAAAATACCTAAGTCGTACATAATGAATTAATTCAAAGTTATAGAAGTATTCAGTTTGGTCAAAAAATGTTTATAAAATAATAAAAAGTCAAAATTTATAACATATTCAAATAAATCTGTCTAAACAGCAATTATTACTCTAAATTTAATATTCAATAATGTACAACGACATAATTTACATAGACAATTAAAATTGATAAGTTTAATGATTTACAATTTGTTCCTCAAGAAATATAGAGAAATGCTATTATTATCTCTATATATAGGGATGAAAATAGTATTTTTTTCTAAAATTAGAAGAATTATTATAAAAATAGATATCGGAACAAGCTCCCGTTTATAATAAAAGTTTGTATTTTGTAAGAAAATATAGAGATGAATAGAGAAGTGGACTGGAACTGATTTAATAGCAAAAAAAATTACTTTGTGTAAGGAATTAACCCATTCAAATATAAATGGAAAAAAAAGAATTAGCCAAAATTTTTTGACTATTACTATTATTATAACTAAAATTTAGATAAATGAAATTTGCAAATTTAAAACACATAATCCGCGCGTAGCGCGGAAAAAGATCTAGTANTAGAGAAGTGGACTGGAACTGATTTAATAGCAAAAAAAATTACTTTGTGTAAGGAATTAACCCATTCAAATATAAATGGAAAAAAAAGAATTAGCCAAAATTTTTTGACTATTACTATTATTATAACTAAAATTTAGATAAATGAAATTTGCAAATTTAAAACACATAATCCGCGCGTAGCGCGGAAAAAGATCTAGTATACTTAAAACTAGGAAAATCTTGTTAAAAAGGAATAAAACAATCCAAATTTAATTCCTAGATCTTAACAATTAAACCTATACTAATTAAGGATATATTGTAGAGTTGAAATTGAAATCCTAAACCTTATCTTCAGAAAACTGAATCCTAAACCCTTTAAAAAAAGTGTTATCAAGAAAAAGAAAAACGACAAATTTTCAAAATTATGATCTATACACATTATATAACCCTACTAATAGTTTGATTTGTAGCTTCTCGAGGTGAATTGAATAAATACTTTATTCTGTAAAGTTTAATATAGATTTTCAAAGCTAAAAAATAAAAATAAAATCTAAGAAAGGTTCAAGGAAAACT